TCCCTCCCCCCGTCACACAACAACCGCACCACCTCACATAAAAACCAGAAAGTCCGAACTGACTGGAGGGAAGCAACGCCCCTACGTAGCACAGAACGGCTACGTCTAGACTACATCCCTTTTTCGTAAAAGGGATGTAAATTAGACGTATCGCAATTGCTAACGAAGCAGGGATTTAAATCTCCCCCGCTTCATTAGCATAAAAATGGCTGCCGCTTTTTTTGGCATGGAGCTTTGCTGGAAAAAAGCGCCAGTCTAGACACTGATCTTGCGGAAAATAAAGCCTTTTCCGAAAGAGCCCTTATCCCAGAGGGATAGCCATTTTTATGCTAATGAAGCGAGGGAGATTTAAATCCCCGCTTCATTAGCAATTGCGATACATCTAATTTACATTCCTTTTACGTAAAAGGAATGTAGTCTAGACGTAGCCAACATGTACTGGTGTGCCAGGAGAGGGAGGTTTGCCCTAGACTGACAAGGAGGGGAGGGATATTAATGAATAGTCAACTAGACAATTAACCAATAAGCCTGAACTTATTTGTTAATCTTGTTGATTACTCACATTTCTCCCCCCCATCCCCTTTTGTATTAGAGGTGGCAAGTAGGAGGCAGGGGGGCAAAAAGAGGGCAGAGACCAGTGCTGGCAGGGAGACTGATTAAAAGCTGCTTCACCCCAGCACCAAAGAAAAAAAAGTTCTAGGGGACAAAAATTAGCACTAAGGCACTAAGTTAGCTGGACTTTTTGGAACGATTGCAGCCGCATGGCCTGCAGGTGGTTTATAAACAACTGCATATTTAGGAGAGGCTGGGGCTAGCTGCTGCGTCTCCGTGCCACTTGGTCTGGCTGCACGTACGGTTGCCAGGTGGTTTCAACAAAAATACCGGACACACTTGACATTCCATGACAGTCGACATTACATCTAGTTAGAAAATACTGGACATTTCTATTTTCTCATTTATATCCTCTCCATTTGCTTCCTGATCAGAAAGTTCAAAGACTGGACTGTCCGGTTCAAAATCGGACACCTGGCATCCCTAGCTGCACAAGGTTGCACGTGCTGCATGCCTCTGCAGAGCATATGGCCAGGCTGTGCCACGTGCCGCTACCTCTCCCCCACCTTGTGGCCCTCCCCCGCCCCCAGCACACTTGCAAATGTGTCCGGTTCAAAACCGGACACCTGGCATCCCTAGCTGCACAAGGTTGCATGTGCTGCATGCCTCTGCAGAGCGTATGGCCAGGCTGTGCCATGTGCTGCTCCCTCTCCCCCGCTTGTGGCCCTCCCCCGCCCCCAGCACACTTGCAAATGGCACTCACCAGACAATCCCTCGCCAGCTTCTGAGGACGCCCGGGACACGTCCTGACTGCTGCTGGGCCGGATGGCGGGGTCTGGCTGCTGTCCTCTGCCTCCTCCTGCCTGAGAGGCAAAGTTCCTTCACCTTGGCCCGGACCTGTTCCAGGGTCCGGGCCGGGTGTCCCTGTGCGGCCAGCGCCTGGGCCATGTGGGAGAAGCTGTGGGCATTCCTCCTTCTGGACTTGGGGTCCCAGAGGGCCTCCTCCTTTCTCCAGAGGTCCAGGAGGGCAGTCACCTCAGCGGTGCTCCAGCATGGAGCCCGCCGCTTGGTGTCCCTGTGGTCCTGCTGGGTGCTCTGGGGTGGCTCCTCGGTGGGGTCTGAGGGACCTGGCTGAGGCTGGGCAGCTGCCATTGCTCCTCCTGGCTGCTACCCGGGCCGCACGTGGCAAACGGCTGTGCTGCGTGCCTGTACCTTTAAGGGGGGGCCCACCTAGGGGGAACCAATGAGTGGTGATTGCCTGTACGGAGTGTAGGAGAGGCCACCTGTGTGGAGGCCAATTCTTGCGCAAGTACGCGCTTGCCGAACGTCCACACTTGTGCAAGAGCGCCTGCGCAGGAGAGCTTACGCCGGATAGGAAACAGCGTAGCTCTTGTGCAAGGAGCGGTCTCTTACCACGCCGTACTGTACATTTCCTTGCGCAAGAGCGGGTGGGCAGTGTGGACGCTCTGAGGATTCTTGTGCAAGAACGGCCATTCTTGCACACGAAGCCGCGAGTGTAGACATAGCCATAGAGAGGTAGCAGCGCAGGGTGGCAGGGAGCTACCCAGAAATGGGGCTGGGAGCAGCCTGGTTGCCGGCCCCACCTCCAGGGACGAATGAATAGTCTGTATCTGACAATATTTTGTGCGGTTACATAACTATTCAATTATACGATAGCGAACAGCCCGAAACGCGGGGTGATCAAGTACGTTTGAGAAGCACTGCTCTAAGCCACACAAGGGTACAAGCAAGGTTTGCCTTGACGAAGGGTTTCCAATCAATGACACCTTTTCCCGCACCTAAGCTGTTCGTTAGAGGAGCAGAGCACACGTCCCGTCCAGGCGATCAACAGAGGCCCGTAAGCCAGAGGGTATACACAATGACGTTGTTTATTTAAACATTTACTCCAAGAAATATAAAAAAACATTGAAAATACAATTACAGCACTAAACCAGGAACCTTTCGTCTCGTCTAAATCAAAAATTGTTCCAAGATTTTTTTAATTTTTTTTTTAAAAGACTTTTTTTCACTCTCCCAACGTAAGAGCAAGAAGGCGGCAGCTGGGGGAGAAGTTAATGAGGAGTGTGAATAATGTTTAATTTCAATCACAGGCAGGACACTACCTGCATTGAGAGGTTCAGCCCCTTGGGGTTTGAATTGTTTATTTTGCGGGTTTTCACAAAACCATGCTCCTGAAGGATAAATGGTTTAATAAAAAGCCCTAGAGCTGAAACTCAGCTTAACCCCAGGCCAGGTGGAGTGCTGGCTCTGGCAGTTGTCAGCACATAGCTCTCTGGGCAACCCTCAAAAGGGTCGGGAAGAGTGAGCAGCCCTGGAGACCTTAAATCTCTCCGGAAGGGGTCCCAGGCAAGTCAAACCTCTGTCCACTCGTGGCCCGCATCTGCAAATGGGCTAATATGTAAGCCAAGAAAACAGCCCGAAGGGAGATTGTGTTACTTAGGCTACGGCAACAATGCCTTTTTTTGCGGACGATATGCAAATCGTGCTTGCATTTGCATATCTTCTTCCAATTCTTTTTGCAGACGAGGTTTTTCTGATAAAGCCCCGGGTAGATGGGGCCATGTCAGAAAAACCCCTCTTTCGCAAGACCCTGTAACTCTCGATTTACAAAAATAAGGGGTCCCTCCCCCCCGACATGGCCCTTTCTACACAGGGCTTTTTATTGGAAAAACCTCTTCCACAAAAAGAATAGGAAGAAGATATGCAAATGCGAGCATGATTTGCATAGACTCATCCGCAAAAAAAGGCAGTGTCGCCGCAGCCAGACAGAAGAGAGGCCACAATTGCAGCTAGTTCAGTGAACAGATTTGGGTGACAAAGGCAAAGAGGCTCAGGTGAGTTTCATTTCAGCCAAACCTCCTGCCTGGATTCAACTCTCAGAACAACTCTCTCACTTGCAGGTGGACTCATTTAAGGTGCCCAATTTAAGCCATGTGGGGCCGGTAGCCAGAGGCACCAAGTACCTAGGAGAACTGATTTCAAATGGGAGCTTTGGCTGCCTAGTGCATCTGGGAAGGAAAAAAACCCAAAGAAAAAACATTTCTAGGGGACAAAAATTAGCCTCTTGCAAGCACAGGCACTAAGTTAGCCAGACTTTTTGGAAAGATTGCGGCTGCATGGCCTGCAGGTGGTTTATAAACAGCTGCACATTTAGGGTATGTCTAGACTACGTGGCTCCATCGACGGAGCCATGGAGATGAGTTTACTAGACATAGGAAAATGAAGCAGCGATTTAAATAATCGCCGCTTCATTTACATCAAAATGGCCGCCACGCTGTGCCGATCAGCTGTTTGGTGGCACAGCGAGGTAGTGTGGACGCTCCACGGTCGACAAGGGAAGCAAACAGCTGATCGACACTGCGCGGTGGCCATTTTGATGTAAATGAAGCGGTGATTATTTAAATCGCCGCTTCATTTTCCTATGTCTAGAAACCTCATCTACATGGCTCTGTCGACGGAGCCATGTAGGCTAGACACCCTTGGGCACCTGGTTCAGCCAGGAGTTCATTTGACCCTGGCTGCTTCTCCATGCAGAATGAACCAGGTACAGACACTGCAGGTGACTACGGCTGTGGTTTGACGTCACAAGGGACATCCAACTTTGCTGGACGTCCACCTGATCCAGAGCCTATGGAATCACAAAGTCAACTGAAAAAAAACCTATTCAATTCAGCCACTTTTCAACTGGGCCCTGGCTGGAAGAGACGGGGTAAGGGGGAAGGAAATAGTTACAATTGAGACCATTGGCTTTACTCACTACTGCACATGGGAAAGGCTGGTTCACAGTCTTAGTCTAGCACAGCAAAGACTCAACTGCAGAACCTCCCTCCTGCTCTCCGTGTTCTAGGAATTTTTTTTACTCTAATTTTTTTTTCCCCTCCAATCAGTACTGCAAGAATCCCAGCACTGCCGCATAACAGGACATCAGCACACGCTGCCTCTAGAGATCAAGGCAGCTTGCTAGTGTAGGGAGAAAGGAAAAAAAAAAAAAAAAAAAGCCTCCCTCGGGTTTGTGTGGAGACAGAGCAGAGCGCTCTGTGAAAAGGCACCTTCGTTTCTCCAGCACAGTGCAGGATATTGGAATAGAAGAAACTTTTGGCAGATATCTGATCGCAACTGGAAGATAGTAAAACCTCACAACCATCCAGGGCTGGGGGCTCTTTGCTTCTTTCTGCCAGCAAAACCCATTTGGTTCAACAGCCGTGCAAGGGTCAAATCGAGGGCCACGTCCCTATTGGTGGGACTGCTGCCCAGTTTGGCGGAATTGGACGGGACTGCAAAGACAGGGTTCACGGGTCAACAGGGGGCGGTCATTTCTACGGCCAGGAAGACAAAGGATGCCCCCTTTCCAGGCATGTCTTAGATCGGCTCAAACGGGGCACTTTTTATGGAAAGAGATGTTTATTGATGTTTCAGCATTGGGGTTATTTTCTGACTCATTCTAACCTCCCCCGCCCGCCGATCCTCCAGAGATGTGCCCAGCTCTGAGTTCAGAGCAGCACTGACTTCAGTGGGATGCCTTACGCATAAGAAGCATCAAGCATGCAAGTAAGATTCGTGGAATCTAAGCCCATGCCTCGCCGAGCAAAGGGAGAGACCTGGGCTGCAAAGTTCTGATCCAAACCTCCCCCATCCCTCACAAATTGAGTAGTGTTTGGATCCTCGATTTTCATTGAGGCCCCTCTCTGAAGGCTTCAGACTCTCGAAATCATTCGCTGGGCCGGGCAGCGAAAACCGCTCACAAGCGCAATTATCCCGGAATTGGCCTCCTTTAGAATCAACTTCGTTTACAAACAACACCTCAGGGTTTGGATGCCCGACTTGACATACCTAGGGCTTGATTTTCTAGAGGAGGAGCCTCCAGATTCTGGTTTCAACTGGAACGGCAAGCGCTCCGCGCCACTGAAAAATGAGCCCCGAAGTGGGTCAGATTTTAGGATACCTGGGCACCCCCAAACCAGGGGCCTGTGGAACATGTTGGCCTAGCTGGGTCTTGATGGAGGTGTTTAATCCAAACCGAAACAATTGAAAAAAAATCACACTGAAAGGTCAAACATATATGAAGCAGCCATGAAATAGGCAGCAGTCAGAGTCCCGCAGCTTAACCCACCCACGGGTTACACATCTAGATACTCTCTCCCTGGGACTTCTATCAAACACCCCTCCCAGGGAATAGGAGATTGCTCTCTAGTTCTAAGCAGCTCTCTGCTTCTGTTCAAAGAGATGGGCCCCTAGACACGCAGGGGTAGCTTTTCAAAGGCACACAGGGCTAGCAGAGGTCTGCTTTCCGATGGGAGTGGGGTGCTCCCGTGCCCTTTGTGCCTCTCCAAATCTGTCCTCCCCTCCCCCCAACTGGGATTCTCTTCAATTCAACGCAGCCAGCGCCACGTGACCCTTCTTACACAGGAGCGGCTGCTCCCCTGCTCAGAGGTCGTGGGGTTTACATGCCAAAAGGTCCTGCCATTGTCATTGGAATGGGAGCGTGAGCCAGGAGTAAATGTCCAACGTTTAAAAGAACCAAACACTTTGGAAATCAGACTGTAACAGGTAGTTAAAACTGCAAATCGCTTATAAAATTGAACCTCGGGAAGTCTAACAAAAAGCTTCAGTCAGGTCTCGCTGCCGGTCTGCAATCTCTTCGTACGCTTTTCGGTCCCAGTGCACATTGGAAAGGACAGCTGCCATTGTAGGGGCGCAGGGCCCTGGCCCCATCAGAGGGTGCGTGGGTTGTATTCCGGCAGCTTCTTTAGTTTCTCTTTCTCCACGTCACTTTCGTCTCTGGCTATCACCAAAGAATGGGCGTAGCCCATCGCCACCTGGGCAGACAGAACAAAGCATTTGCCAGCCTAACAGTTATGCTGGGATTTCCACTGTAACAATAAAAGAGGAACAAGCCGCTGAGTCCAGAGGTCTAGCGGGTGGAGCATTGGCCTGTGACTCAAGGGATCTGGGTTCTAGTCCCAGTTCTGCTGTGTGACTGTGCCTCAGTTTCCCTCAGTATAAAAGCAAGGGGTAAGGATGCTGACCAGGTGTCTCACACACTGAGTTCTGCTGATGGAAAAAAAAAAAAATAAAAAAAAAAAATCACAAGTCCCTTTACGATCAGTGGCTTTTTATGACTGAGCTTTGGAGGAAAGTGTGCGCAAGGACTGGAAATTTATGAATTGGGTACATGCAAGGCCAGAAGGCACCTCTGTGATCATCTAGTGCAGGGGTGGGCAATAATTTTTGAAGTGGACCCGGGCTGCCCGGAAGGGGTGGGGCCTAATCTGGAAGGGGCGGGGCCAGAATGCTTCTGGGCTTCCCCACCCCCAAACCATAATTGGTCGGGGGGGGGGGAGAAGCCCCTTGGGTGCCTAGTGGGAAGAGGGGGCAAATGCCCCTGGCAGGGCGGGAGGAGACGTTGCACTCCCCCGTCCCCAAGCCCTGATTGGCTGGGGGTGGGAGAGCTGTGTGAAGTTTCCCTCGCCCTGCATGAGCATACACCACTTTGGGGCGCCGTGCGCTCCCCGCAGGGCGGGGGGAGGAATCTTGGCACACTCCTCCTGCCCCCAGGCCAATCAGAGCTCGGGGGCAGGGGAGCGCGTGACATCTCCTCCCGCCCTGCAAGCGGAGATTCAAAGCGCCTGAGGGCAGAGGAGCGGCAGGGCCTCCACGGGCCGGATCAACCCACTTGGCCGGATGGATTCGGCCCACGGACGTCCTTTTGCCCACCCCTAATCTAGTCTGGCCCCTTCCGCAAAATAATTCCTAGGGCTTATCTTTTAGAAGAAGAGCCACGCTTAGTCTAACGCACCCTGTCTGTACATTCCTCGAACGCCTCATGAGGGGGCTGCAGACACACCAGCCACTGCATCTCTCATGGGCACCATGGTAACAGATCTGCTGGCTACTGTCTCCCAGCTCAGGCGTCACCATTGGGGACAGGAAGGGAGTCTGGTCAATTTCGGTGCGGATTTAAAACGGATGGGGGCGTGATCATTAACAGGAGCAGCCTCGGCTCTACTTGCAAGGATTTTTACTCCGTTTCACAACCCTCCTCGTGCAATTGCCGTGGCCACACAGCCACAAACCTGCCTGGGCCACGTTTCTACCTGACAGTCCACGTCTTCTCCCCCCCCCCCCCCCACACACACACCCCGTTCCATTAGTTCCCCTGCACTTCTCTCCCCCTCCAGCTGCTGCGTTCTGCATGTGACAATCTAATGGCCCAGGGTCCTGAGGCTAACCAGGGATCTGGCCAAAGCATCAAGGCAGAGCATTAAGAGGAAGGAGGTTACGAGAAGGGTGGTCCTTTTCAGATGCACGAGATGGGAAATGAACCAGCCCAGTCCGCTGGGCTAATCGCTTGTGTTCTCGTCTGCTCTCACCTGCTCGGTATAAATTCCATCCAGGGTTTTCACCTCTTGGGCAGCAGTAGAGGACTTGGGTTTATGGTCTCCATAGCCCTGTTAAGAGCAACGGAGAAGGGGACTTGTAAGAAATCAGTGGGGAAACCACAATCTCAGCCTTTTCCAAGAGGCTGGACTGGGTTACTTAGCCTTGTCCCCGGATTCTGGAATAACCAATGGCTCGGAGGTCAGGGACTGTCTTGGCCACCTTTGCCTGCTCAGAGTTCTCTGGGACGGAGACCCAAATGGCTCTGACGTCTACAATTTGAACCTTGAAGCCCATGGAAATTCGAACCAGTGAAATGCACCAACAGAGAAATCCAGCGCCACAAGCCGCCCCGCTCTGCCCCCACCACTAGGGACAGAGCACTAGAACCAAGCCACCCTACAAAACCCACCCGCAGCAGCCAGACACTGGAGTGAGACTGGAACGGCGTAATTCAGGGGCTCACACCAAAATAGTTTGAGCATTTAAAAAAGGAACTCAAGGGGCCACCAGCCACATGACACCCCACCAGCCTGGGGAAGGGCTGGGCAAACTCCCCTTCTATCCCAGACCCCACCTCCACCCACCCTTGCACCCTCCCCCTAGCCATGCGGCCTAGCGGGTTCAGGGTCCAATGCCAGCAGTGGAGTCCAGCTCCCCCACACTCACCAGCAGCGGTGGCAGCAGAACAGCACAACCCCAGCTCGCTCCGCTTCCCACAGCAAAGTGCGGGGTGGTCCAGCCGCCACCCCAAAGCGAAGCGTCCGGAGGGCAAAGTGAGCTGGAGCTGCGTTGCTCCGCCTCCTCCGCTGCGCCAGTGAGCGCGCGGGGGAGAGGAAGGGGGCCAGCCCCTCCCTCTAGTCCCCCTGGCCCCACTCCCTCATCCCTCCTGCCCATGGCATTTGGGGGACGTGCCCCCCCCTCGCATCCTCCCCCACACAACACTCCTGACCGTACCGACGCCCTCAACCAACGCTACGATTTCCGAGGGAAGCGGGCGTCTATTAGATCTGTCCCAGCACTCAGGAATGAGACAGAAGACGGATGCAAACATTTGTGGGGAAGATTAAATATTTAGCAATTAGACACGAGGAAGCGCATGAGGGAAAGCAACTTGCTTTTGCAGGGGCCGTTCGGCACAGGGCAACGCCGAGTGTTTCTCACAGGGAGCCAGTGCGAATCCACATGCAGAACTCACTGGAGGCTGCAAGTTCAATGCACCCATGGGTCTCCTCTCCTCCCAGGCAAGCTCCCTGCTGCCAGAAAACTTCACCAAGGAACATTTGGGCAATTTTCTCTGGGAGAAAATTCTGCCTGGTGGTGTGTAGGTTTGGGGAGAAAGGTGGGTTTGTGTGTAGCACCAAATTACCCCTTATTATTGCCTCTTCCAGGCTAACTTTTTAGCAGGTGCGACAAATGTTTTCCCCCTTAATACCTAAATTAAGCAGGACAAAGACCCTTTAGAAATATTACACCCAGTAATTTACACCCAGTAATTGAGTGATCTCAGGATCACAGCAAGTCCACTTGCAAAAGCTTCCCACCCCCCGGTCTCTTTGCTTGCGATCTTCTCTGCTCTGGTGCTGGACCAGCCTGGCTGGGTTTCTGTGCAAGTCCACAGCTGCCTCCTTACCAGTTCACCGAAGGTTGGAGATGGGCCCCAGCTGATTGTGCTCTCATCTGCCGCCACTATAATACTGCTCTTTCTGAAACAGGTACACAGGCTGTTACTGCAACATCCTCTGCCTTCCTGCCCTCCCCCGGCAGCCCCGCCAGCTGCCGTTCCATTTCCCATGCCACCTGGCTGCTTGGTACCAGCCCCGGTCCAGCTGCTTCCCAATGTAATACCAGGCTGGTGCGGGTGGGTGGATCTTTGTGGAGCCCCGCCCCCAAACCGATCCCCATTACCGTCCGTTCCCTAATGCAGTGGTTTCTCACTGTGTCCGCCGGTGGATTGGGTGTGGCCACAGTCGCCACCAAAGAGTGGGCAGAGAGCAGGGATGGGGCCCACGCAGCAGCCCATCTCGGCAGCACATGGCTATTGCTCCTGGACAGCTGTTGTGCAACGCAGTGAGACTCGCTGCCTGGGGGCTCACACCAGGGCTGTCACAGGGACTGGCGACCTGGGCCATGCCGGCTCCTCAGGGCGGAGCCTCAGGAGACACGGGGGCTGGTGCGCCCGGCGCCGGCTCTTGTCAGTGGAAGCAGCTTCCCCGCTCCCACTCGGCAGGGCCATGAGGCACCTGGACTCGGCAGGTGGCAGGCAAGTTCCTGACCCATGGCGCAAGGGAGGCTGGGACAGAAGGGTTTGCCAGTGCTAGCCCCAGCTAGAGTTGGGGGCTGCCCTCTGAGGCGACCAGGAATGTTGAGAGCCCTGTAACGTCCTGAAGATAAACACTTTACAAACAGGAAAAACAATAATCCAACACCAGGTCTTGGGAGACTCTCTTCCCATGTCCATTAATACAACGCTCCCTCTAAAACGGCACCCAGCAAGTCTCGGCGCAAAGGTCACGCAAACGAGCACCCACACAGATCAGAAGCTGCCTCCTTTTTAGCAACAGAAGAATATTCGGGGAATGCCTAAGTCGAGGGAGTAGGGAAAAAATCTTGAAATCACAGCGAAAAGATTTACTCTGAAAGTTTGCGGGCAGGCCGTGGGCTGGGTTTCTTGACCGTAGCAGAACCAAATCAGTGTATTTACAGGGGGACCTTTCAAACATATCTTGATGCTCCCCAACTCCAAAGAGCTTGCCATCAGACACACACACTACCAATAGGGTTGCCAGATAGTTTCACAAAAATACCGGACACACTGGACATTACATCACAATCTATGTTACATCTTAGTTAGAAAATACCGGACTTTATATTTTCTCATTTACATTTTCTCAATTTGTTTCTCCGAACAGAAAGCTCAAATACTCGACTGTCCAGTTCAAAACCGGACACCTGGCAACCCTAACTACCAAGATAGATATGGCATGAGACAATAGGCCAGATAAGGGAGAGGTGGGAGCAAAGAGGAAAGATTCTTGGAGAAGGAAGGTTTTAAAGAGGTGAGGAGGGAAGAAAAATCGTTTCCTTCTTCTCTGGCCCAATGCTCACAAAACTCTCATTTAACACAAGCAGAAGCATCCTCAAAGCAACCCAGAAACTCTGAGGCTAAATCTACACTGCCCTCTCTTGTGCAAGAAAATATGCAAATGAGGAGAAGCAGTGAATATTGCCACACATTTGCATACTTAATGAGCTGCCATTTTGCACAAGGGGTTTTTGCACAAAAAGGAGTTGACCACACAGCTCCTTTTTGCACAAAACCCTGTTGCACAAGAGCCGTTCTTCCTGAAAAAAAAAAAAAAAAAGCGGCAGAATGGCTCTTGTGCAAGAAGGGTTTTTTTGTGCAAAAGCCCTTTGTGCAAAATGGCGGCTCTTTAAGTATGCAAATGAGGCGTGGTGATATTCACCGCTTTGCCGCATTTGCATATTTTCTTGCGCAAGAGAGAGCAGTGCAGATGCAGCCTGAGAGCTAGCACCTTCCCCCGCACTGTGGAGAGCTACACTCAGTGCAGGACAATGCATAAGACTTTAGAAGCCCAGATCAAATCAAGTGATCATGTAAAGGTTTGTAGGCAGGGTTGTTGTAGCCTTATTGGTCGCAGGACATTAGAGACCCCGGTGGGAGGGGCTCATCTCTTTTATAGGACAACTGCTGGTGAGCAGAGACACAAGCTCTGGGTAAGCTCAAAAGCCTGTCTCGTCTGTCTCCCCAGCAGAAGATGGCCCAATAAGCGATATTAAAGAGACCAGATTGGGTGAGGCAAAGATTTGACCGTTTCTCCCCCACACCCAGCTGACTGCAGCAATCATGCAATCCCCTAGGAAACCGATCAACCCAGCGGGAACTGGAAGGTCAGACCTCTCCCGATGAATTCTCAGCCCTCCGGCATGAATTTAAAGTTAAAGACATTGACTCCCTCCCAGAACAGGATGGAGGCCACAACCATTCCAGGAGAGGTTTGCATCTAGGCATTCATTTATCCTGGCCCTCCCTGCCTTCTCCACTGCTATTAAAACAGTCACCCTGCGTATCCAGCAGCTTTTCCTCTTCCACAGGGTCAAACACACACACACACACCCCTGCCTTGTATCAGAGAGTTAGCCATGTTAGTCTGAATCTGTGTGGCACCTTAGAGACCAGTGTTTCTTTAAAAACACCGTTTGGTGTTCCTCGGTCTTAACAAATTTATGAGGCACACCAAGGATTTTTTGTTGAGCCAAAAAAAAAAACACAGCCATTCTGAACTCTGTTGTTCTGTGGCACACCTCCAGTTGCCTCGTGGCACACCAGCGTTCCCTGGAACACAGTTTAAGAAACAGGGTTATAGACTAACAGATACATTGGAGCATAAGCTTTCATGGGAAAGACCATGAAAGAAAGATGCATCTGACGAAGTGGGTCTTTGCCCACGAAAGCTTATGCTCCAATACATCTGATAGTCTATAAGGTGCCCAGGACTTCTCGTTATCCCTGCCTTGATTCACCAAGCAGCGCTGGCCTGGATGACGGAATCCGATCTGTGTACGTAAATATAACTAGTCACAGGAGCCGTTGCACAGGGCCAAATTCCCTGCTCCTACAATCAGCCCTTTCTGCACTTGGGTCCGCCTGTGTTAGCACTGCTTCTAGGATGTCCTCCAGGCAAGCCGGGGGTAGTCAGAGGCCAGAAGTCATCACTTACCCACAGGCCAAGCTGCGGATTTTCCAGCCACAGAGGTCCTGCACAGCTTTCGGGTACATGGTTGACTCACGGGAGGTGTTTGTGGCTCCCCAGAAAAATAGGCCACCTGCAAAGCAAACCAGCCAGGCAACGTCAGACTCCAACCCGGAAACCCGATTGAAATGCAGGCGGCCGCACTCCGGAAGGCAGAGAACTTTCGGAAGGAAGGGCTTGACTCTACTGACACACAGCAACCATGCTGCTCAGTAACCCCAAGACACTGGGAAGAGTCCAAGTGAGCTCTCCCTGCGTGTAGGCAAATGCCGTCTCAGAGCGCGGCTCTCACAACAGAGACTTTGTGCAGCATGCTGGCTCCACACCAAAACCCATCTGCCAAGAAAAAGCAATGCCACTGACCTGTTTCGCTGACAGCAAAGGAGCAGGTGTAACCAGCATAGAGCTGAGCTGCCCCGCGGCCCGGGAAGTCAAAGAGCTTGACCAGCCGTGGCACCATCTCATCCTTCTGCTCGGCATGGCCCAGCCGGCCGTATCCACCAAAGCCCCAAGAGAACACACGCTTCTGGGAGTCTAAGACAAGCTGCAAAAGGGACAGATGGTGACACAGACTTGGGTTTAGGTGCAGGAAGAAGTCTCCCCATCATGCAGCTAACTGCAGGGTGGATTATTGGTTTTGCTCTATGGATCTTGGCAGAAGACCAAATGCAGCAGCATCAGGGGCATAAACATAGCCTCAGGCGAATTCTACACGGCAAAGGCCAAAACTATTGCGATGATGCATTTCGTACAAGGACGCTTCTCTGCCAACTATTCCATTCTCATCTCAATTGTTGTGAAGTCACATGTCTTCCCATTCCTCCCGCCGAGTGATAAAGCCAGGAACAAAAAGGACTAGGTGTCTAGACAGCTGCATAGTCCAATATTGATTAAACTGCAGGAAGAGCAAACAAGAGGACGACACCCCCCTCTTCACCCCCCCCAGGATTCCCACTCCGCTTTTGTGTTGCTCTACACAGAAGTACTCAACAATGGGCAATACAATACCAGCACTCTGCCTGGTGCATTTACACAAGAACTAGAATTTAGCTGCCACCCAAGAGGCGGCCTCCAGCGTCAGAGGAGGGAAGCGGTCATGTGACTTCAGTCAGCTGAAACAACTCCGTAACTGGAAACAAGACATTTCTACTGTGATGACAGGTATCTTTTCCTCCATTGTCTGCCTCTGCTGTCGCTTAGCAAGCGCTCAGGGTGGATCTGCAGAGTTGGAAGAGGGTTATTTTTAAATCTATTATTCTGCATTTCAGCTCCCTCAATGTTGAGAATTCAAACTACTGCAGGTGGATTAGGACACCTCCCACGCCAACCAGAGTCATAATCGGATTATGCCACGATTGGCCTCAAACCCTAAGCGAGGCAGGGAGACACGGAAGGTTTGTGCAAATGGCAGCTTGTATGACCGGCTGGTTTGGTTTCCCGTCCTTTCCCGGCGGGAATTACCTGTCAGCGTCAAGGTGTCTGACTCCAACTATCCCTAGGGAAGTTTCAACATGCACCGAGACAAAGTTGCAACCCAGCCCTTGCACTGGGGGTTTCCAAATAGTCCATAGCCTTAAGGCGGGGACGAACATACTTTTAGGAGATGTCTGCACTTGGAGCTGGGATGGGATTCTTAGCTTAATGAGAGCTCCACACACTAGAAATGGAGTAAGTGCAGCAGCACAAGCAGGATGGGCTAGCAGCGAGTCCGAGCCACCTGAGGCTGCAGGCACGCAGCCAGGGCCGCTAGCTGTCCAGCTGCTCATGCTGCTGCGGCTAATTTTTAATGCACCGGTTCGGGTGCAGCTAGTGCAAGTGAGGTCTCCTCAACGTGGGGATCCTCCCTCTCCTGCGACCAAGGAGTAGATATGCCCTTAATTGTAGCCACGCAACACGCCAAAGGCTGTAACGCCTCCGAGGGCGAACACAAGGGAAAGGTTTTCAACTTGGCCTCCTGGATCGGCTGATCAGAGCTGGGATAAACCCAGCTGCCAAATACAAATCGCTGGATGTTCTTGGCACTGGCTCAGCATGGGGATCCTCCCTCTCCTGCGACCAAGGAGTAGATATGCCCTTAATTGTAGCCACGCAACACGCCAAAGGCTGTAACGCCTCCGAGGGCGAACACAAGGGAAAGGTTTTCAACTTGGCCTCCTGGATCGGCTGATCAGAGCTGGGATAAACCCAGCTGCCAAATACAAATCGCTGGATGTTCTTGGCACTGGCTCAGCATGCTAACGGCCAGTCACATGGAGGGATTCCGCCACCCGCGGAGCATTCAACAAAACGAAGGGAACGCAGCAAGTCCCATGGCTGCTGCTGATCAAAGCTAGCTAGGAAACGGGTTTCTTCCAGGGGCGCAGTGGCTAGGGTTACCAGGTAGCTTCAGAAAAAATACTGGACACACTTGATGGGGGGGGGGGGAGAGGGGAGGGAGGGACTGGCCAGGAGGG